CCTTTCCTGAATCATGTCAATGGTTCTTCTGCACAATGAGATGGTCACGGGGGTTCCTTCCAACTCTATATTTCTATGATTCTGTGGGAATTTTATGCATTAGATATCCTGCCTTTCCTCCAGCAGTTCAAGGCTGGGTAGATCAGTGTTTCTCACCCTTAGAACTTTTAGGATGTGTGGATTCCAACCCCCAAAATTCCCCAGCCGGCAGGGTTGGCTGGGGAATTCTGGGAGTTGAAGTCCACACATCTTAAAAGTTGCCAAGTTTGAGAAACACTGACATAGATCCTCCCCCCCCCCCGAACCTTATGAGTTAGGTTGGGTTGAAAAAGAGTGACTCATCCAAAATTATCTTGGGAGATTCCATCGATATCACTGGAGGCTCAAAAAGAATAAGGACAACTCTACCGTGGTATATCCTTCATTCTGCCTGGCAATAGAGATGGCCTTGAGCAGATTGGCAAAGGTATGTTTTTGGAGTTTTGCCCACATGCCTGTAGTAGTCTTCTCATCTTCAGGGATGGAAGTGAACACGCACAACAACGGAGGGGTGTCAGCCCTTCAAGGTAGACCAGACTAGGAAACCAAAGTCATGCACGCTAATACTACTTTTATTAGAAGGTTACAGTAACAACATCTTGCACATCTGAATCCGCTTCCCCCCTCCCTCCCTTTATCTTCATGAGAACTAGAGAGCGTGTTGTTGGAGATGCTTTCTGAGATTACAGTTCTGGCCCAGATTCAGATTTCTTTTATCTGACCATTGTCTTGGTCGTGGCTCTTCCTCAAGATTATTCCTTCTGCCCGTAACAAGGGAAGAAAAGAAGAAGAAAGAACTTAATGTGACCTTCCATAATTTGGAGACGTTGCATTGCTCGACTGTAGCACACTTGGGCAGTTTGAAACCTGGTCTGGAGGAAACAGGTTTCTCTGTTGTTCTTCTTCCTCTCCCGGTTCTAACTTGGCCCCCTCTCCTCTCCTAGTCATGGGAAAGTCTTCCCGTCATCACCACCACCACCGTCGCTACCGGCGGCGCATGACAATACAAGAGATACTGAGCCGTTCCTGGCAAAAGGCCTACCCGCATCTCGTTAACATGCAGGCGATCATCTTTGAATTGACCCAATCCTTCTTGTTTGACATCTTAATCTGTAGTGTGGTGGCCATCAATACAATCCTGCTGGTGATACAGACATTTGCTGTGGTCGAGATCCGGGGAGGTAAGTCCGTACATCTTCTTGAGGTCTAAAAGCACTTCCAAGAAGTTCTGTTGAGGCTTTCACCCAGCAGATGATAACGCTGAGCTGATCTCGGCTGATCCCAAAATGCTCTATAGGGTCATACTTGTTCAGAACAAGGATGGGAGTCTACCAGGAAATGCCAAGTCTGGAAGTTAGGCTAGGAAGTAGATGCTGTAAAACATCTGGAAAAAAGCAATGGGAAACCATTTCTATATTGTAGCCGATTAAACCACATGGATCTATCTGTGGGAATTATGTCCATCCTGGTGGAGTCTTTTCCATTAGTAGATGTGGCTGGAAAATAGAGGAGACACAGAGAACCTTGGATTCTAGGAGAAAGGGCTCTCTGTCCAGTTGATGTTGAGGTCAGGAGATTTTTTTTTCCTTCAGTAACTGCTTGGGTCATAACTCAGTTTGGAAGAATCTTTTGCTTTTTCCATTTTCTGGTAGAAAAGAACTATTATGCGTGCAGATTCAAATGTCAGCCAACAAGATGCCATTCTGCTCCAGCCCTCAAAGCTTGCTAGCAATTTTATTACAAGAGGCCTAGTGACCTCAAAGATCAAGACCCTAAAATAACACAAGCCGTTACAAAGTTTGGATTTGCAGCCTGTAGCGCCCAGGTATTACTCATGACAAATTAATAATAATTTGGGGCTGATTTTTTGGCTGTACCCTGTGGAATACTGCATAAATCACTAGAGTGTGATATTGTTTTTTCCCCCTGTTCTATTCTGTAGCATTTTCCCCTCTTTTTTCTTTACCCTTTCATCCCTCCATTTTATTTTATTGTATTTAATTGAATTGTCTTGATATGTAGGTTGGGTCTGTGACCTGTAATAATGGAATGGAATGGAATAAGTATAGAATAGAGTAAGAGTAAGAGTAGAATAGAACAGAACAGAACAGAACAGGAGTAAGAACAGAAGAATTAGAACAGAACAGAACAGAACAGAACAGAACAGAACAGAACAGAACAGAATAGAATAGAATAGAATAGAAGTAAGAACAGAACAGAACAAAATAGAAAGAATAAGAGTAAGAACAGAACAGAACAGAACAGAATAGAATAGAATAGAATAGAAGTAAGAACAGAACAGAACAAAATAGAA